TTATTAATGTGTCTGTGCATTCTTCCTGTCTGTATTTTATAATAGGACCTGCTAAAAGATTTCATTATGTTAGCTGTTGATGAACTGGAGAACAGGCACACACAAAATTATGATGCATCAAATATACCTTTCTCTATATTTGTTCTCCTTTTCCTCTTTTCTCTCTTTTTTCCCCCCTTTTCATCCTTTTTATTTTCTTTTTCTTTCTCATAACAAATTTTCTGGTAGTATTTAGATATCTTTTACATATATTTTTAGTAAATACACCCCCCATTCTAAAAATATAGACAATACTTTTTAACAGGAATAATGAATCCGCTGAATGTTATCAACATGATATTATACTATAAGTGTATTTAGTAATTAAGTGTGTGTCAACTGCTCATTTGTATGGTTCAGTTTCAAATAAAGTAGTAAACTTTGCAAGTGTATATTACACTGAATGTACAATCTAAAGACTAACAACAGTTTTCAGTAACTTCATTAAAATAAAATGTAGCCATATTCTAATTTCAGTAGCTTAAGCAAAACAGCAAAGGAAATGTCAGCTTTAGTGTATATTGTACTTGTTCTTTGACAAATTCTGGCAAAATCAATGAGCAAAGAATTTATATATGAATAAAAAAAGATGCATTGATATAATTTAACATGATTGTTCTTATTTTTACCTGCAGTTTAGAGCAGATCTTCTCCAGTAAAGTAGGATTTGATCTGAAGTGGTGACAGTAACCATTGATTCTTGCTGGGAACAAAAATGCTCAGTCATAATATATGCTTGGTAAAATTGCATTTTATCAATCAGAGTGAGGCTGTTGATGAATTTGCACACAGACTGCTTACAGCGTGGTAGAGGCTGATAATTAGGCAGGGTGCCTCCTGAGAAGCTGTGCTCTCCTCACTTGCAATTCTGCTGGCAGATGTTGAATAAGCTGAAATTCATCCTGGGAGTTGTGGAATCCCTGAAAGCATGGAGCCTTTAGCACTCTTTAAGGGCATTCAAGAAAATAGACCACTGTTAAATACTTTAGAGAGAGGCTTAGTTTCTCTGAAATTTCCACTTAGTTTTGGTAGCTTAGCCTGCATTATTTTGCAATTTAAGTTCCTTTGATTTAAGTGGACATTTCAAGTGCACACAGACTGTAACACTCATCCCTTTGGAAAATAAAGATGCTCTCAAACGGTGTTTTAACTTTAAACCCTAAGGGTAGAGTTGTCTGAGGTATTTTGCTTCTTAGAAAATCACATTCTATATCCTTAAAATATGCTAGCATAGAGGGAAGGTCTCTATGCATTTTGTTGTTGCATTGTACATGCATTGTATATGCATGCAAGAGGTAGAAATATTCTGTACTGGTAGAGAGGTGAAGTAATTTGCATTTTTATAGTAATAACTGGTAAGCATTACAATTGTCTGCTGGATGTGCCTTCCATAGCAAGTAGTACTTTCAAGCAATGAAGTGAGATCTATAGCGAACAGTTCAGGAAGAGAATAAAAATAGGGACGAGAGTGTAAGTGGGTCTTGTCACTCACAGAAGAACAGATATAAAATAGGAGGTGAAAAGAATGACCACTGTGTTCCTTGCAGGAATAAGCCTTCACAGTTCCCTGTGACATATGTGTATTACAGTAGGTGAGGAGTTTTCAGGCAAGGACTTTGAGGAAGATACATGGATTAAAAAAAATAGATATCTAATTTCTCAGTATTGTCTTTGGGGGAAGAAGAATGAAATACTTTGCTTCAGATTGAAATGGATGTATTTCACTGGATTGTGAGTATATTAGAGGTTAAGTAAATACCAGTTTATGTCAATTTATAACACTGCAGCCACTGTGGTAGGTTTGGGAGGGAAGGCTCATCCTCCCATTCTTTAGGCTTAAGCTTCCTGGTTCAATTACTTCCCCCATGCAAAACATTGTGCTTCCCTGTAACTTAATTCTTTATCTCAAATTTTGAGAATGTTTTTGCAACAGCAATTTATGACAGCAGTACTGCAGCCAAAAGAATGTTAGGATAAGCCAGTGGACTCTGGAAGAACTATAGTTAGCAAATGACAAATAATATCTCAGTGATTATCTGAAGTGTGTATTTTGTCCAATTGAGCTGACGAATTTCAGTTCCACGGCAATAGGCTGAAACCACAGAATGTGTATCTGATGTTTAGATATAAATGTAATTTGCCTATCCTGATATTTGAAAAGGACTCTGTCCAAGCTTCTAATAATAAAAATGACAATACATCTGCATGCTATATAGGAACGAGATGTTGTAAATATTACTTATAATGGAAAGACATTTCAGATTGTCCTGGGTTGCAATGGTATGTATTCTATTTTCGTCTCCACAAGCTGTTAAAGAAGGTGGGGCAGTGATCCTTATCACCATGTCCCTGATGGCTCCCTCGGGGGGCTGTCTCTGATTAATGGGCTGCCAAGGACCCATACATGACACCTCCGCCCAGTGATCCTTATCGCCTTGTCCCATGGTGAGGTGACTCACCCCAGGGGTGGGGAGCCAAACATGCTCACAGGGATATAAGCCGGGGTTTGGACCAGCACAGGTAGCCTTTTGCCTGCTGGATTCCCAGAGGACAAGAGCTGCTGCTGGACCTTCAGGAGAGGAGCAGATCTGCAGGATCACTGCTCCAACAAAGCCATCACTCCAGGAGGACTGCAGCTACCATTTTAATCGGACTACTACTAACACCCTGACTGACAGGGTGTCAGGTTACTTTCTGACTCTGTCAGGTTATTTTTTTGTACTGTTGCATTTGTTGTTGTTTTTTGTTGTGTTGTTCATATTAAATTGTACTTCTGACTCGGAGTCTCTCACTGGTTTGCTTTCAAACCAGCACACAGATGTAAAAATTCTAGGTGGTAGAAGAGTGGTCAGAAGCTGTATAACATACCATCTATGTTGTGGTAATATGCTAAAGTCATTTTTGTCTGTGTTTTTGTGAGCTGTGTTGAGCTTACACACAGTGAGATTTAATTTATGCAATTTGATTTATCTTTTGGGAAAAAGCAAAATAATTATATGTTAAATGATGCCCTATATTTGATTCCTACAAAGTAAAGCTAGAGAGTAGAATAGTCATGCTCTTATATAGTGATATTCTTACCTGTCTCGACATTGTACTTATGGTTCATTGGACCCACAGATACAGAATGAGACACTCATCTGAACTGATCCATGCTTAAAAGTCTGTAGGAATAACTGTAACTCAGTGGTAAGCAATAGTAGTGCTGGAAACACCAAATCTTCAAGTTCTGAGTCAGTTCAGTAATTTGTCAGTCATGCATTAAATTCTTGTTTTCACAGCTTTCATCTCTGAAACTGGAGAAAAAAAGTAACAGATTACCTCTTGCAAGTTCTTTAGAGCATCCTGTAGCAATGAACTGATGAATGAAGCATCATAGAAGAATAATAGCATAAGTTAAGGGTTAAGTTAGAGATGCATTGAAAAAGAAGTGCAACAGTACAATATTTAGATTTCTTCTGGCAAAAATATCTGAACCAAAGAAGTGAGCCTTGGGGTGTAATTAGATTGCTGCCACAGAGATGCATATTGATTGCTGCAGTTCATGCCGGTTTATTTAGAAAGTTTATTAAAATTCTGAACTGTGACCAAAGGTGTGTTAAATGTAAATGCACATAAGATTTGGGAGGTATTGAAATTGAATCATCCTGATTTTAGAGGAGTAGAAACAAAAATACTTGCTTAAACACAGTCTTTCAAAAGGGAGATGACACACAAAGCTGCACACTGGAATCCTCTGACGACTGTAATGACTACTGGTAATGTATTTCCAGCAACTTAGTAGCAAGATCTCAGAGAGGTTCTAATTCTACTTTCAGAAAGACACAGAGAAAGCCAAATAAACCCTTACATGATGGTTAAAGAGGGTAATATAACTGAAGCATAATAGCAGTAAGAACTGCTATTCTCTGGGGGGTCTAGAAGTCCCTGCTGTGCAGATCCTTGCTTTCCCAAGTGGTTCATGACCTATAGCAGCACCCTGCCATTCTAAATAGCAGCAGCTGCTGCTCCACACAAATTCCAGATCCTCTGTTTGTAGCAGCAGAGATGTCTCTCAGACACTGTTTATCAATGTTGTCTTTCTTTTGTGATGTTAAAGTGCTAATGCAGATATAATAAAGCCCAGAAGGGTCTCTTTTCTCAAACTTATGTCCTGAGTTATAAATCCTTAGCCCAAATACTTGATATCTTGGGTGGGCCAGGGTGGCAGAAGCAGGCACCCTAATATTATGAATTTATGCTTGCAAAGCACTTTGTAGGCGAACTCCACCTCATCTCAGCTGAGTCATATATCAGACCATCTCTGGTGGTCTCACCAGAGACCACACAGTCTCTGTCTAGCTCACAGTACACCTGGAGCTCCAGCCCAACAGGAAATATGGACAACCCCAGACAGGACTTACTCACATCTTCCTGCAAAACACAGTACCGACCAACTCAGAGTGAATTCTAATTGAAATCTCATTAAGAAGTAAGGTTTTGTAGATCACACAGCATGTGCATTTACAGTGAAAGAGTAAAGAAGCTAAATCTTGAGGCAAGACAGGAGATAAGCAGATAAATGACAGGGCAGCACAGTGGATCACCGTGATAACTGTGATTGTTAGAGCTTGTTGTTACAGATTACAATAGAGATGCTATTTTCTTAGGCCTCTTTCTTATAAGGCAGGAGGGAGTTGTTGGTGTGCTATTTAACAGTGCCACATCCTTGTCTCAACCAGCAGTTGTAGGAATTCAGTCCATAATTTCTGAGTCTTCATCAATGTACTTCTGCTGTTCTTCTGTGCTAAAGATACTGTCTATCTGTATGAAGCTAATCTACATCATGACTATATGAGTCATGCTATAAATCATCTGAATAACAAGTTTAAAACTACTGAAATTTTCTTGCAAAAATGACTTTTTTTTCCCCTTTTGTTTGAAAGTGTTTTTCTGATAATAAGCACTGAACTCTGATACCCATGGATGCTGCAGAGTTCCGCAAGAGAGGGAAGGAGATGGTGGACTATGTTGCAGATTACCTGGAGAAGATAGATAAAAGACAGGTCTTCCCAGATGTGGAACCAGGATACCTAAGGCCCCTCATCGCGGACTGTGCACCCCAGGATCCTGAGAGCTTTGACGATGTCTTTAAAGACATTGAGAAGATCATTATGCCAGGGGTAAGAAAAAAGGATCTGTACTGTAATGTTTGATATTGCATTTAGGTTTTCAGAGACTTTAAAGAAACTGTAAGTTGAAGGCTGTGCAGCTAGACCTTATAAACATAAGTACCCACATTGATTAGCTTTCAGAAGGCAGCAGGCTGCTTTATGTATTAAATATGATCAAACACATTGCACAAACAATGTTTTCTGTTCTTGCTAGAAATAATCGAATCATTCTTTTGCTTCATGTCAGGCTTACTTTTGGAAATAATCCCCTTTCCTCCCTTGAATTGGTTAAGTTAAAGCTTCACTACTTTCAATTTCATGTGATATTTTTCCTACTTGCATAGCACAGTAAATACTTTACAAAATGGTATTTTTTTTTGGTCTGCTGTGTCTAAGGTGTTCCTTCAAGCTGATCTTTAAATGTTAAAATTCTCTTGGGAGACTTCTTTTTATTACAGAGTTGACTAGAAAGGATTCTCCCTAATACTTGTTCTGTTGACTTACTCTTGTAAATGTCAACTTCTTCTAGTACCTTATAAGGCAGATGTCCACTACCTAAATATTAGTCCTTGGATAGATCAGTGTTGAACAGACAAAGCAGAACAAAACATTTGGCATTTATCCAGGTCTGCATCTTTCTTGTTTTTCCACTCATGTATACCATTCTTGTTTTTCCACTCATGGTATGCCATTTTTTTATTTTAAATATATGCTTGTCTCCTAAGGTCTCTAAATAGCTTGAAGAGATCTGAATTATTACTAAATATTAATGAGGAATCTCTCCTTTGGATCTCTGCAATAACCACTTTGGTTGCTTTTCTGGATGTAGCTAGGTGATATGATTGTGGTGCAAGTGGACATCACAATCTGCAAATGTGTTTAGTCAGTGTACTATAATATCAATTCCTTTTCATTGACCAATGTAAATATTTGATATTCAATATGACTTTATCTGTTTTTCTTGGAGCCAACCCTGCTGTCCTTTTAACAGGCAAAATCTCCACTAAGGTCAATTGAAGTCACTCCACTCTTCTAAAAATTTGTGGATGAAGTTTTAAATGCAACAGAATTAAATCAGTGCAGATTAGGTATGAGAATTATGTCCAATGCATGCAAATACTTTAATTGCTGCTCATAGATATGATTGTATTTTCTTTTTCATTGGAGGAAAATACTAATGTCTCTGAAGGAGACAAAAAACCACTTTGCTTTGAACACTTGAGAACATTCAATAAAATAATATCAGATTAAAAAACAAGAGATGAATCATTTGAGAATAAAGTGACACATTGAATCCCAATTATATCATCAACACATCATATGCCCTCTTAACTAAATTGATTTTTTCTTGATATTTACATGCCCTGCAAACAAATTTACTTTTACTAAATGACATTCTGAAGAAGAAATGTTCCATCCAAAACTTTCCACTGGCGTGAAGTTAGTGTTAGTGACACAAAGAGCACAAATACATAAATCCCAGTTTTTATAGTAACTCTGATTCTGCCTGTGTTTTGAAGACTCACATGAGCACAGAATCACAAGGTCATAATCCAGTGGAGATTGGATGGCCTCTCTAGAGATCATTTAGTTCACCCCCCACTGCTCAAAGCCAAGTCAATTAGAGCAGGATGTTCAGGATTAAGTCCATTTGGTCATTGAATATCTCCAACCATGAAGTCTTCATATGTCTCTGTTGTCCTATTCCACCCTCACAGTAAAAATCTTTTGCTTATATTTTAGTGGGATTTTCTCTATTTCAGTTTGTACACATTTCTTGTTGTCCTGTTGCTGGATACTGCCATGAGGTTAGGGTTAGGGTTCATCTTCTTTACTTCCTCCTATGAGGTGTTATACACATTAACAAGATATCCCCTGATATTTCCACAGGCTGAACAATCCCAGCTCTCTCAGTCACTTATCATATAACAGATGTTCCAATTAATCATCTCTATGGTACTCCACTGGAATCACTGCAGTATGACCATGTCTTTCATTCTTCTTCTTGTGAACCCAGAACTGGACACAGTATTCCAGGTGTGGCTTCACCAGTGCTGTGTAGAAGGGAAGGATTGACCTACAGTTTTCTTAATGTAGGCCTTGTTTGCTGCAAGGGCACATTGCTGGCTCATGTTCAGTTTGTCCACCAGGACCTCCAGGTCTGTTTCTTCAGAGCTGTTTGACAGCCAGCCAATCCTTCGCCTGTACTGGTGCGGGTGGTTATTCCTCCCCAGTTATGGGATTTTGCATTTCCCTGTTGAACTTAATGAGATTCCTGTTGACCCATTTCTGCAGCCTGGTAAGGTCCCTTTGAATTGCAGCATGACTGCACAGTGTATCAAAACCTCCTTCTAGTTTATGTCACCTGAAACACTGCTGAACGTGCACTCTATCCCATCATCCAGGTCATTAATGAAGATGTTAGACAGTACTGGCCATTGTATTGGTTCCTGGGATACATCACTAGTCTCCAGCTGGACTTGATGCTACTAATCAGAACCCTTTGAACCTGGCAGTTTAGCCAGTTTTCACTCCACTTAAGCATCCACTTATCTAGCATCCATACTTCATCAGTGTGTCTGTAAAGATGTTACGGGAGACAGTACTGAAAGTCTTAAGAATATCCTGTGCTCTCCACTTGTCCACCAAGACAGTCATCTTGTAGAAGGCTGTCAAGTTGCTCAGGCATGATTTCCCCTTCATAAATCTTTGCTGCCTAGCCCAAATCACCTTCTTCTCCTTAACATGTTTGGAAATAGCTTAAAGGTTCCATCATCTTCCCTGGGATTTTGAGGTGAGGCCAGTAGTTTCAAAGATCCTTCTTATAGCCCTTCTTGAAGTTAGGAGTGACATTTGCTTTTTTTTTTTATAGTCCTCCAGAATATTCCCCAGTTGCTGTAACCTTCCAAAGATATTCGAGAGTGGTCTCAATGACATCCTCTAGCTCCTGCAGCACTTGTGAGTGCATCCCATTAGGCTCCATGGACTCATGTATGACCAGTTTATTGAAATGTGTCCTAAACTGATCCTCTTTCAGGTGAAGTCTTCCTTGCTCAAGGATTATCTCATGCATCTTAGGAGCCTGGGACTCCTGAAAGAAATTTACCAGTAAAGACTGAGGTGAAAAAAGCATTGAGTGCCTCAGACCTTTTCCTGTCCTTTATCACCAAGTCCCCAACCCCATTCCACAGCAGAACTACATTTTCTCTACTTTCCTTTTAGTTCTGATGAACCTGCAGAAGATTCTCTTGTTGCCCTTCACATCCCTCACCAGATTCAACTCTAGGTGGCTTTGGCTTTCCCAACCCTGTCCCTACATACTCAGACAGTGTCTTCATAGCGCTCCTTTCCTGGACCAGCTGACTGTCCTTGCTTCTCCTATGTGCTTCCTTTTTACATTTGAGCATTATTAGGAGCTAGCTGTTCATCTGTGAAGACCTCTTGGACACTTTTGCTTGACTTCCTGCATGTGGGGTGGACCATTTTTCATCTTGGAGGAGATAATCCTTGAAAATCAACAAGCTCTCCTAGACCACTCTCTGGTCCATGTCTGTCTCCTGTACAATTCTTCCATGCAGGTCCCATAACAGACCAAAGTCTGCTCTTTTGAAGCCCATGATTATGATCTGCTTTGTACATCTCTTTCTGCTCTCATGATCCTGAACTCCACCATCTCATGATCACTACAGTCAAGGCTGACCCTGACTTTCACATCATAGAGTCATAAAATCATAAAATGGCCTGGATGGAAGGCATCTTACAGTGTCATGAGCAGAGACACCTTCCCCTAGACCAGTTTGCTCAGAGCTCCATCCAACCTGACCTTGAATACTTTCAGAGATGGAGCATCCACAGGGTCCCTGGACAACCTATTCCTGTGCCTCACCACCCCCACAGCGAAGAATTTTTTCCTAATATGTAATCTAAACCTACTCTATTTCATTTTTAATCCATTCACCCTTGTCTTGTCACTACATGCTCTTGTAAAAAGTCCCTCTCCTTCTTTCTTGTAGGCTTCCTTCAGGTAATGGAAGGCTGCAATAAAGTCACCTCAAAGCCTTCTCTTTTCCAGGCTGAACAATCCCAGTTCTCTCAGGATATTCTCATAGGAGGGATGTTCCATCCCTCTAATGAACTTGGTGGCCCTCCCATGGACTTGCTCCAATAGGTTGATGTCCTTCCTGTGCTGGGGACCCCAGAGCTTGGCACAGTACTCCAGGTGGGGTTTCACAAGAGTGGAGTTGGGGGGCAGAATCACCTCTCTCAACCTGCCGGCCATGCTGCTTTTGATGCAACCCAAGATACAGCCTTGACCAGTTCTTTCTTGTTTATAAGTCTGCAGTCCCACATTGTCCCCCACATCCTTATCAGTGTCTCCACAGTTTCCTGTGTTAGGAAATTATCGGTGCACTCCAGAAACCTCCTGGACTGATTGTGTCCTGCTTTATTGTCTTTCCAGACTATGACCTGTGAACATGAGGTTTCTTCCAGCTGTCTGAATTCTGTACTCATGTACTTATTCCTGATCAGGTGGTCTATAGCAGACACCCAATCCAATTGTTGCCCATCTTGAAATCTTCACCAGTTCTGACCCACAGGCTCTTGACTGGCTTATTGTCCATCCTTAGGCAGATG